AATACTTGAACGGTCTAGGTCATCTATGCTCGTCGGACTAATTAAGAACCCTTTCGCGTCTTGAGATAATGCGACTTGTGGCAAAACCTTGTTCAACGTATTTTCGTCAGTAGGAGAAAAATGAGAGAGTATGGAAGATTTCTCCACGTCTTTCATACCGTGATTGGTAATGCAAGGAGACGCTTCTTCGACTTTGCTTGTAGAAAAAAACTTGTTCTCGCCAACATAGGATGATTGGTTCTGGTGAAATTGTGGTACTGCTAGATCACTCATATCTTTGAGAGGGTTCACACGATCTGTACAGTCTATTTGGTTTCCACTATTTTTCCTCATATTGGATTCGCAGAGTTTTTCAGAGGCAATAAAAGACTCGTTTGTGCCTTGTATTTCCTGAGGGAAGGTTTCTAAGTTTTCGAAAAATTCCTTGTCGGTATTAGAACCTGAAGCAAAAATGGTTTTTAGGTTAGATTTACTAGCCTCAGTCTCAATGGGTACGTTACCATCCATTTTAGTAGAGGCTCCTTTACAATCAGGATAGATAATATCAAGTGAAGAACCTGATTCGACAGTAGAAGTGGTGCTTTTTGAAAACTCGGGTGTGTTCTCAACGATGAAATCTGACTCAGAATATTTAATATCAGAATCATCTTTTAAAGAGATATCATCGAAACATTTGGATCCCAAGTAAGCCGAGGAAGGAGGGACCGGACCCAAAGAACCGGAAATGAAAAAAGGGGCAGATAAAGAGGGATGTGTTGGCTCACCAAGCCTTGACTCGCTTCTTGACAAAGTTATATCATTTGTCTCTGGAATGGGAATGTAATTTGCGTTTATGTCCGAAGCAGATGAGCATGTGGCATCGGAATAGGAAGGTATTGATTTACTTCTTATACTTACGGACTGTAGACTGGTGCCTCTATGGCCCTCCTGATTCTCCTCTAAGGAAGAATCAGAAATTTTGTAAATGAGTCTAACATTTTTATCAATCGAATCTTTTTGAATGGGGTAAGCATCGATGGTAGTTGGAATTGTCATTGCCGGACTAGGTTGAATACATTTCTGAGGGGCAGATAAGTCAATTTCTTTACAGAAAGATCCGACTGCAGAAGTCTGGAATGAACCAGGATTAGAAACTGGCTGAATAGCGGCCAAGGTGGTGTCTACATCTACGTCATTAATCAAGCTGGGAGCCTCAATCACGGTAGACTCGGAAACAGGAACGGAACCATGTGTGACAGAATCACATTCTGTATCACTTGCGTCAAGATCGACCTCGTTGCGAGTGATCAACAGCATATGATGCTGTAATACTGCAGCCTTGGTGTCCGGAGGCCTAGATGATGAAGTTGAAACCAAGCAAATGCCGAGGGAAGTGGGCAACGTTGATGATGAGAAAGGTGCAGTAAGCGTACCATTTTCTTCAGAAGTTTGCTTAAAAGATGATTCAGAGATAACAGAAACTTGGTCCGTGGAGGAAGTCTTGTTTGAAAGTAAAGGAAGTTGTATAAGTGATGAATCTGATGTGTTTGTGCGAGGTTGGGTGGTGGAAAAATACTGGCTCGAGTTACTGCTATCAGCTTCTTTGCTAGTTATGAGAGAGGCGCGTGGAAAAGCCACACAGGAGCTCTTTCCTGACAGTAGCAGCGATGGATCGGGTCCATTTATTGTGAGCGTGCCATTTACAGGAATTTTTGAAGCAATAGATGA